CGACCCTAAATCTATGAAACTATGAAACTATGAAACTGTAACAAGAGGAACCAGTCTGAAACATGGTATTTGTCATGCAATCAGTCCCTTGAAAGAGCTGTACAGCTGTGCCCTGATAGAAGTGCAAGGCTGCAGAGCACTAAAAGTGCCTGATCAGACAACAAATTAACCCTCACATAATGAGGGTTCAGAAGAAGGCACTCCAAAGTGGAGTGCCTGCATTAACTTCTGCTTGTCCTTGTGCATGAGCAGGACTGGGCTGATGCACCCTAGACCTTACCCCAGTGCTGTCTTGAGGATGAGAGGGGGAATGAGGGAAGGAAAGGAGCTCCCATCTAAGGTTTGCCCAACCTGCTCTGGAGTGTGGGGGAGAGGAGAGAAGGTGGATTGGAGCTCCCCAAGGTTCCAGACCAGAGCTCCCTCCCCTCCCCCATCCCCACTTTCATCCTCCAGGCAGCACCAGAGCACTGGGGGAGGGGGCGCTAGAGGAGAGAAGCTACATGTCTGGATCGGCTCTGAAGTGGAGCTCAATCCTGCCACCCCCTCAACCAAACAGGGAACATCTGTTGGGTCAGGGAAGGAGGGAAAAGAGGGAGGGTCGCTGAACTCATAGCACTTTCTGTGAAGTGCTACGAGTTAGAGTGGAGAACTGCACTTCTGTCAGCACCTCATTTTGCCAGGTACTGCAGATCCCAAACACAAAAACCTCAAGTGCATACAGTTAAGACCATACCAGAAGAATTTTATACAGATAAGGTAGAATCAGGCAAATCAATGGCAGGAACTGGATGTTGCTAGGGGAAGTGGAAGGAACAATCATTTCATTTTGGACACTGGAACTCAGGTTAATATTTTAATAAAGCATGAATATATAAAATTTAAATTGAGACCAAAAGTGAGTCCAACAAATATCAAGATAATTGGCTATTTAGGAACAGTGAAAGGGAGATGCATTGCTAGCACCTCATATAAAATCAGAGCATACACACTCTCATTCATTGTGGTACCTAGGGATGGAACACCAAGTTCGAGTGTGGCAGTTTGTAAGAAACTTAATTGAGTTAAGTGTGTACTATGAATACAAGAAGACACAATATTCATGCTTTCTGATGATCTTTTTGACCATTATGGCTCAAATCTGGACAGTCTTCTTAGGAAGAAACCAATTGTTCCAGTACACAGGAAGCAACCACCTATGGACAGAAATGCAGATACTATCATGCAGAAGAAAAAAATCAACCTCCACAGTCAGCAGCTAATAACCTTTGTGCATGTGCAGAAGTATAGCTGCCAAAACTGCAAGTCAGTTGGATCCCAGTGTAATGACTCAAGTCTATCAAGACTTGAAAGAAAAGAAGAGTGGGAGGAATAACATGCAGAATAAGATCTTTGTCTTAGGAAGTTTTCTACAGGATTAGGAAGAGTAGATGCTTCAAATCCTTCCAAGAATGGGGAGCAGGGAAGAAATAGAGATTTTGTGGATGAGCATAATAGCCACCAATGAATATACTCCCCAAATTTATCTTTTTATTCTAGTATATACATATATATCTACCAGAGAATACTTTCAAGGCTTTACAAGCTGTTCTTTTGAACTTTGTCTGGACAAATAAACAGCCAGGGTAAGTGTATGAATATTTCACAAACCTAAGATGCAAGGTCAGACGGCTCCCAACATAATGATATATTATCAAACATCTCAGTTGAAGCACATTATAAACTGGTTTGTGGAACCTCATTCAAAACTATGGATTGTGATACAATGAGAATGGTGTGAAGAAATGGATTTCCCAGATGTATGTTGTGCAAGAGAAACTGAGACCAAAGAAACAATGGCTCCTGGCAGATTTTACATTTGTTGCACATTTATGCAAACCATAACTGACCACATGTTAAAAATTATCACAAAATATTTCTGTGCCACAAAGTAGCTACCATTTCTATGAGCAATTTCTTTGTGATTGGTGCACCATTTTTATCCAAGAATAACATCTGGCATGTTATGACTTGTCACATGCCAATCACATATAATATGCAACAGATCTGCCAGAAGCCTTAAGGACCACTCCTTTATCCAAACTAATTTGAGATCCCTAGATAAATATGGAAAACTGCCCTTCTGTATGATAGGGTTAATACAGATTCACCCATCTCACAGGGGCTTATAACAATTAATATAATCAAGACAAGAAAAATTGAGTGAACTTTTGACCCAATTGAGAGTTTTCACCCATTTTCTATATTAGTGGTCCCCAGTGTTGCTGGTGAAAGGGCACTAATACTGAGCAAGTAACCCTGTGGGTGACATTGCACATTGTTCTCCCTCATTAACGTATTTGGACTTTTTAATTTCCTCAGCCCAGGAGCAACAATGGAGGGCCTCACAGGTTGTGGAAGAGTAAACTCCAATACTGATGCAGCTTTGAAACTCACAAACTCTCCATTAAGAAGCATGTTTGAGTGCAGTGTGCTTGTATTTCCTGCTTCTGAAAAGGTGACACTGATCAGTGACTAGTCAAATTTTGAGAAGCCAAAACTCTTTCAAGTCAGAGGCACTTTGCACCTTTTGAAAATCAGGCTAGAAATTTCCAAAAGTGGAGAATTTTAAATAAAAAGCAGGATGCTGCAGCTACTGCCACAGCAAAGAGAGGGAGGAGACATTATTGTCCACAATAAAATACAGTATCCATAAATGGGATATAGCAGAGCTCTATTAAATTCAAGACATGAATAATATTGAATAAGCAAGGAAACAGATGTATAGCCAAAGCAGCTCCTAGCTGGGTTATGCAAACAATACAACTTAATTTCTTCGAGATAGAAGCTGCTGATGCTAAAAGCACAGACGAGATCAAC